TCCAACACGTATCAGGGCAAAGCCACGGTCCGGCACCAAAACAGAGCTCGTCATCCAAAAAAAGAACGGCAATTATTCCTCGTTTCAGCCTTTCTACAAGTGGCTTGCCATCTTGAGGTGCAAGGACCTTTGGCACCGGATTTCATATTGGTTGCATTCTCCTGGAATCCTAACTGAACTGCTTAAATAATAAGATGCAAAGATATGGTTAAGCTAATTTTTCAAGCATTATTCTAAAAATGATGGTGGATTCTGGATGCCCTTGGAAAGCACTTCATACTTTGAAAAGATCGAGACTTTTTTTAGAGGCTTACTGACTGTTGTAGTGTGCAAAAAACAAGCTTTCCATTGAATCCTAATTGAGTATGCATCAGCATCACAAATTGTTTTCGCTAAACCTGATAGTGCAGCAGTTGAATGGGCGTAACAGTTTATTGGAAAGGGGAAAAAACCTTTCAGATATTTTTCGACACTCGCAGATCACCTGTAGGCTTTGGTCTGACTATATAATTTTCTTAAAATTTGACGTCATCAGAAAATGTTTAAAAATGATGACGGAAAGTGTGTCTTCCCTCGAATTTTGCCACTTTATATCTCTGCATCAGTCAGTCTGTATGGTCACTTACCTTGTCTGTTAGCATGGACCTTCAAGGCGATAAGGCGATCACAGAGACTAGCCTTCAGATTATGCATTTTTCCTCTTAATAAACTACTTGGAGGAACAGTAAGTTGCTTCAGCAATTAATTTCCTCTTATCGGGCATAATATCCTTTTGGACAGCACTCACCCGTGGTATGACAAATATCATTAACTTGACTACCGAAACAGAGCTGTATCATAAATTTGTGATCCAAGGCTCAGAACACGGATTCTTCAGTTTTTTAGTGAAACCAAAAATCCTCAAGAAAAAATTCTCTTTGTGGTTGCTCTACTACCAGCTTTTGTTCGCGAATCTTTACTGGTTTCAGCATTACTTCGTGCATTCTGTGATTCTTTCTTTTAGCTCTCTGTGTTCATGCAAATGGTGATAAATTGTCGATGCCTTTTGTTTGAAAAGTGGAAGTTTCTAACAATTCCATTCAAGCAATAAAAATTAACAGTTTTATAAACTGACAATTTCCTGCTCATTCGTTCGATTACTGTGCGTTTGTCAGAAGTTTCAGAAGTCTCAAGTTCTCTGACAACCGGGATGTTCAGAAGCGGGTTCGGAACCCCGTGTTTTAGTTTGTCTCGCCTTCTTGTTCTTACACGCCTGAAGCAATGTCATTCATAAACCCAATCTGATGTCGTTTCATCAATAAGTTTCAGCATTTAAAGTATAAGGCCGAATGTTTGAACGAAATAATGAAAACTGATTTTTTCAATTTGTAACTCTACTTGTGAAGGCATTAACTTCAGTGCTAAATGATGGTTTAAGAAAACAGTATTAATTGGGTACTGGCCAAGCAAGTCATGCCTTTCAAGGCCAACCATGAGCAGAAAGCTGATCGACGGAACTATGAACCATAGTTAATTTTCAGTCACAAAGTTGCCACGTAGAGGCATGACATTTCGCTTCTCAGATCTGATATCGACATTTATTGATCCTGAATTCGATTTTACGAAAGTGTCAGCAAGAGCTCTTGAAATTTCGCTAATTTTGAATGTCAGAAATGCAAATTCCTTCTGTGACTTTGATTTTTGGCAACGCGGAGGAGCACAGATGCGAAAGAGCCAATGTAGAACATAAATCCAATCTTTCCTTGTTCAATTTTCGTGCTTAGAAAGTCTGAAAGAGAAATGATGGTAGAATCTGTACTTGCTGTTGGTGCATTTCGCAGTTCATACCTCAAACGTATGCGGGAATGAAATCGGCAATGATAAGCGCTGGCTGCGAGTAACTTAAGTTTAGATATATCATTTACTCTGGCCTCCTAATGACTTATCTAAATGATTCATCCATCGGTTCCAAAATCAGAAATTCCGTTAAGAAGTGGCCAACGAGGTATGAAAGAGTAATTTGTAAACTTTTCATTCTCTATCCAAATTTAATCTCCTCAGACCTATCCAAAGGCAAATTTTCTTTTTAAATTGTGAACAGCTAACAAGCGATACAATTTCAGTGCACGCGTAGTGCGGCTTCGTCTAACTCCCCTTTCCAGACTTGCAACTTACTGTAGTAGATATACGTAATCGATCTTTCTGTGACTAAAATCAATACCATGAGTGTTGGTCGTAAAGCCCGGTAGGCGAGGGGGCTCGCGAAGGAGGAAGCAATCACACTTTATTTGTGCAAGTATCAAATGTTGCGCTTAAGAAATATCGATCGCGCATCGTATTGGTCGGCAGGGTGGGAAGGTCCTCAGCTGTACCTCA